GGTACAGTCTTGACACTAGATGCCTCAGTTGATGGAGTACGCCGTGGCTGTTGAGTGAACTTGCGTGCGCCCCAAACCAGACTAATCAGAATTGGTTACCAGAGACGGATTTCACAAGCAAAGCCATCAGGGTTTATGTCTCAGGAAAGCATTCGGTCTCGTTGGCGTCACCTGAACAGCCGACTTGTGTAACACTCTTCCCGATCCTCACCGTTTTGAGGTGACGCACTTGATAGTTGCGTCACTTTTGTGTTGGCTCCATACTGAGATGGACTATAATGGAGGACACCTGGGGTTGGATGCATGTCACAATGACTCTGTCAGTCGGATATCAGTTCAATTTTTAGCGGACAAACCGAGCACCAAAGTACAGTGGTTCCTGCTGCTACCACTTCGTCCACCGAGGGCCATGCGTTTGAGGTGATGTCTCAATCAACTCTAAGGATTCTGTTTGTCCGGTATGACAGGGATTTATAGCTACACAGTGAATGCGATAGCATGTGATGCAAGACCACCATCGACTGCGTGACAGTCCGACCTGTCAGGGTCACTAAACATTGGTTTATCTGGACAGGGTTCCTTATGCCGGGAGAGTACAGTTACCACGGCGATTACGTTGGATGATGAGGTCCTTCACGCCTCGTTGCCAGATCATGGACTGACCGCTTCGCAGTCGTCTCCATCCAATACAAGGTTGGGTAAAGAGGGTTCCACGGGACGAACGGTCCTCTGGCATACGAAGTAACCAGGGTTTCTTATGAAACATTACCCATTTGTCTCGATACTATACCCATATCATAACCGCTTGTTTTCAGTTGTCATAGTACTTTCGATCTGACGTATTTGGTATCGTTTCTTGCTTTTTCTCGCGTGGATCTCCACCTCATTCTGGTTGCCTTACCGTTTTCAAATCTGTACTCAGGTGTCCCGTACCGTCCGCAACCACCTTCGACATATCCAGTTTCGCAGTCCTCTCAACGTGTCTACCGTCAGGCAAATCGTTCACGATTTCGAGTTGCACGTAATCAACCCGACTCGGGATCGGTCTTGGGCCGATCTTACGGTGGCTGTAAGTACTGTTTGTAGTTGTCACATCTCAGTCTGTGATTGAATTGTACACCTAGCCACCCACTCTTCTGAACTGACTTCTTCGGGATATGTATTTGAGAAATACCGTTTTGTTCGGTCACCGTACACCGCATATGTCGACCACCACCACCGTCATCATCATCGACAGCATGACACCAGTGTTCAACAGGGATGCTTCACTGCCATACAACCATGATTTATTTGAAAGCCTTAGTATAAAGAAAAGAAACTGACAGGCAATCTGGACAGAAACTGACGACAAGGGCGTCGAACTTGATGGATTATCGATCTATGCAGCATTCAGCTGATCCGGGCGGAGAGAGCGTGTAATATCGCCCATAATCTGACGTGCTACACCTTAGATATTCCGCAGTAGAGTAAAGGTGGATGGGGAAGGGACTTAGTGCAAGCTTACCACAACCATTCCGAAGTGCCTACACCTCCAGACATTCACTCAGGAGGTCTGGATAGAAACTGACAACAGGAACGCCACTGACATCGATTGGCAGCCATATCTTGTAGTGTCTCCAACCAGGCACAGTGCTCTCTGTTTACGCCACTCTGAATTGGGCATGGAAAACATCACTGAGAAGCTTGTTGTCCTGCTTGCTTCAGAGTGCGGACGTTGAACGCGGCCAGATAGACTAGGTGTCGAGGCTTGAGGACTGATTTGGAGATATCCGCGCCACGTGACGAGCAGATGCTGCACACAAAACCGATGCATGACGAACGGAGTCATTAGTTCTAAGTACTGGACCTACAAGGAGAGAGTTATTAATGGGTTAGGGAGATTCGGGAGAGAAAATATGTGGAAGAGGAAGAAGGGAGACGTCAGCAGTAGTCTGATGACACCACGGAGGGCTGGAACACTGTCATCCATTGTCCAAGCCTAAACAGGAGCAGTCGAGATGCCCAAGGTTGGGCTCGAACCATAAACCTTCCGGTCAGTGAGTTCGCGCCCTAACCGAGATATCCTTGAGTGTAACAGTAAAAAGTAGAGAGAGATAATGCAGTGGACCGGACAATGTTCGAGTTCCGAACAAGGAGGCTCACAAAGATATCAGCATTGTCAGAGGATGGGATGCCATTAGCATGGGATATGGGGGTGGGAGACAAAAGGTGCGAGTGATAACTGTTTTGACTGGGCTCCCGACTGATAAAATTCCCATTCTCCCTATTTTTGACGGCTTCGCCAAACACTCTTAATAAGAATGCGTGAATGAGGAGGGGCGTCAAGCGACGATGTTGTGAATGCGATTCCGGCGGGAAGAGGGTAATAAACAATTGTCAGTGGTTCCCAAGTAGAATTCCAGCTATGGCGAATTCCCCGTTTCAATCAACCATTTCACTGAAACGAGTCCGATTGTTATGCGTTTGGGTGTTTTTATCATGTCGTTTTTCCTGCTAAATTCAGAGTGGTCTGAAGACTGAATGTTGTTTTCTCTCTGGGAAACCGGTCTGTATAACGCTACCTGCAAACAAATCGGTTTTATTGTCTTTTCGCTGACAGGTCCCACCCACATTGTCTATTTGGTTGCATTTGTTAAGGTGAAAGTACCTCCTAACTCAGGCTATGGGTTAGCTTACCTCTTCACTGTACTATCTCGTTCTCCCCCGCGGTGATTGTGACTCAGTTCCCAAATGTCTACCTGTTTCAGCTGGTGTTCTCTTCGCTCCGGCTTTCCCAACCGTGATGAGTGGGAATTTCAACATGTCCACCTTGAACGCCCGCCTACTCGGCTCCAAAGCGGTGTTCATCGCCTCCGAAGCCGACGAAACCTATGTCCCCGTCTCCAATTCGATCATTTTCCCCTCGCGGACAGATTCAAGTGCTGCTTCTGTTGCTATCCCAGTCGGGTCAAACTATCCTGGGGTTCTGTCAACTTCCGGACTTTCAAATGTATACTCGGAACAATTGCTCATGGTAGGTTGTGAAACTGCTAAGGGAGTCTCTGCCTGACCCATACAACGTTCGTTGCATGTTTGTTTGACCTGTTAATGTGCGCGGTGAAATTGCACCTGACTGGGCCATGGCCTGGAAATTCACCGTAGTGTTGCGGATCCCTAATCTCGTTCTTTGCCACTCCGTTCCCATACAGGCCAATCAAGTTAACTTGGCGAATCAAACCGCAGGTTTCGAACTTACGGGAAACGCGCATGCTGCAGCAGCGGCCGCGGCGGCGGCGGCGGTAGCTGCCGGTCAGGTACAGTTATGGCAGTTTCTGCTAGAGCTGCTCACAGATTGGCGACATCGGGAGGCCATCCACTGGATTAGCGATGATGGAGAATTCAAGCTGAGCAACCCGGAGCGTGTGGCGGCCATGTGGGGTCAGCGTAAAAATAAGCCAGCAATGAACTATGAAAAGTTGTCACGGGCTCTACGCTATTATTACGATGGTGACATGATATCTAAGGTGAGTCGTCTAGTGCCAATCAGACTTACAAACCTTCGTTTGTATGTAATCTTATGGAGGCATTTTACCACCTGACTACTTTACATATCTTTTGATCTCCAGGTTCAAGGGAAGCGGTTCGTATACAAATTCATCTGTGACCTGAAAACGCTTCTGGGATTTTCTGCGGGCGAACTATATATGTTGGTGAAAAACTGTGCAGAAAAGCATGCAGCTATCCGTAACCGTAAGCGGCGTACCTTGGGTACCACTGGCCACTCGTTCTCCACTTCCTCGTATGCGCGCGCGAAATTCGAAGGTCGTGTTGGTGGTGGCGGAGGCGGTCTGTGGAATCGTTCTTCGTTGTTCTCGGAAGAATTCAAGACTTCTAGTAGTGTGACTCCTGAATTGAACCATTCTTCCGGTTGTTTGCCTTCACCTACAGGTCATTCTTCGAAAGACATTCGATCGTTTGATTTACCCCCCTACCCAACCAGTATGTCACAACATTTCTCCCCTCGATCGCCCAACGGTCAAGAAACGAAGCATAAATTACAACAACGATTGCCGGGTTTTGATAGCCTCCCTTTTTCTGAGTCCAATGTACAGTCCCCTCAGCCTCTAATGAGATCCGTTTCGGGTGGAGCATCCGTACGCTCCACCGTCCCCACCCCACCTGCTATCGATCTTGATCGTCATCGGTTGGCGCTTCTGGAAAACGGAACCGCAGATGACCTCATGGACCAAGGCGAAAACCAATCAGATGCATCTTCCAACCCTTGGAAGCGGCGACGTCAGTGGTGGGTCAGAAATCCTGTCTCTGCACAGGCCCTACATTTCTCACCCCCATTCAATCATGGAGTGAATTCGGATGAGTCAAGCTCGCGGTCGTGTGCTTTTGGGTTGTCAAATGGCTCTTCCGGTTCGTCGCGTAACACCAGCGGCGGAAGCACCTTGTCCCGCGCCAACCCGCCTCTGTTGCTTCTGGATGAGGACTGGATAGCCGCAACAGCTTTGCGTGATGAACTTTCCGGTGATGCCCTACCTGTCACATCCCATCGGTTCATAGGTCCGCTCACACCTAGCCCGTGTCGTTCGAGCAATAGAGTCTCGTCAATACCTGTCTCACCGCTACCTCAGTCTGCCACATCTCTCCCTACAGCAGCCGGTTTTGACGACGGTGAGATTGCCACCGCCGCCGCTTCACTCCTCAGCCAGCCTGCGCTGAACGACCATCATCCTCTTCTGACCGGCCCACGTGGCGGTTGTGACGAGGACCCGGATGACTTACGAGCCGATTCGGTCGTCACGTTTGATTCCTTCCAAGCCACCGATTTCCTCTCACCACCAACCACAATGAAAAACCTCCCAGTTTTCCCTTTACGCTCAACACAGCGACCCCGACCGAGCTCCATTGGGGTGGTTACTAATGGAGATCATGCTCCGGGAATCGATATCGAGGCGTTTTTGGCACAATAGTTACTACTATTCGCTGTGGTTGTATAAATGTTTTTTTTTCGAAATTATTCTTCCCTCCCCCCTGACTCAGGTCCCCACCTCCAACGTGCACAGACCTCTTTCTGTAATCGTGCCATCTTGTACAGACTGCTAGCTACCCTTCCCTGAAGTTGTCCTAATTGACCCATCCCGTATTGTCCGCCCGAGCTTGCATGTATGTATGTATGCACAGTGTCATCACACTTTTAAATCACTGCTATCAATCATGTTCATTTTGTTACTTACGGGTTCATTTTTCCAGCCTTCTGTGAATTTTCATCCGAGATACTGACCAGCGCCCGTTTCCCTTCCCCTCTTCGGTCCACACAGAGAGAATCAATATCCATCCGGTTTCTTTGTCGTCCCCATTTTGTTGTTCTCGCCATCATCAACATTCCAAGTGAACCAATTTGGTGTATTCCTACGGATGCTGAGTCTGCCATTACACACAGACTCTTAACCTGACTGTCTATTCACTTGTATGTTCCGGAGCTTTGAATACTAGCATTGCATTCGCTCATTCTTGTTCAGATTGCCCCATCTTCGTTATTTGCCCCCTCCCCTCTTGCGGTTCTTTTTAACCACGCTTTGCCCCTTTGCTTCGTGTGAATTAGTTGGTCAAACTCCCGTAGAGTCTGTGCATTTGAGTGAACTGACACAGGTTGGGGCAGCTTTCTCATCGTGCGCTATTCCCTCATCCACGCCTCTCTCACCGGTTTTTTACCCTCCCCCCTTCTATCAGCCATTACGACCCTGCACGATTCCGCCCTTCTTTTTTGTAAATTTTTTTTGGATCCAGCTTGGACCTTTTTGCATTATTTTTATTCTCAGTTTTCACCCGGCGTTTTGTTCCCACACTGGGCTGTTTCGGTTGGAATAAGGCAGATTCTCGTCCATTTTTTGTTTGGGTTTGCTTACTGTGGCTAGATTGATAACTGCCGTGCACGATGGAACAGGCCAAAGGTCTTGTGACAGACTTTCTGGCCACCACGAGAGCAGATTCGAAAGTGAGGTGATCTATTGAATGTTTTAGGAAAAACTGCCTCCTGGCACACAGTTAGCCAGCTTCTCATAGAGACGGTGCGTGGGAGTGGCGTCGGCCCTCATATCTGCACAAATCGCGTGTATCATCAATTTGAGGTGCGAATTCCGTAGATGACCTGGCTACTAAGTTGCTTCATAGTGCCTTTAACCGTAATCAGTCTTCCTCCAAGGCGACCACTCCGTCCGTCACATGACATAAGGGGCGGGGTAGGTTTGGAACAGATGCCCATACCACTGTTTACGTTGTTGCGGGGAGGCCTGCTTAGTCGTAACATTGTGTTTGTACCTAAACCTCGGCTACCTCTAAATGACGGACTCTCACAATGCCAGTATCCTGATATCCTCTGCTCCTCGAAGTCGTTTGGCATGAATGAGGACTAGACGAATGGCTGATTTGATGACCCAATGCGGTTTTCGGCTGTATGATGGGCGCGTCGACAAATCATCGATTTATCCCTTCAGCCTGTCTTGTGCCGAAACAATAGGATCAGTAGACGGTTATGCGTAGGCCACCAAAGTGTTACGAGAGTGTCGCCCATCAGTATCTCCCAGCATATCACCGGATCTTAAGGGTCATGTGTACCAGACTACAGTAAGGGCTGTGTTGTTGTAGGGGTGCGAGACACGGCCTTTGCGGAGGCGTCTTCAGGTTTTTGACCGCCGATGCCTCAGAAGCGTGGCCCGTTATGGATCGCGTCACCATATCAACAACGAGGTGATTAGAAAACGGGTATTTGGTTATGCAGCAGGTAATTCAATCAGGGAGAACACCCAGCATCACCGTCTGCGATGGCTCGGTCATGTGCTACCCATGCCGAAACACGGTTTACCGAGGCGCGCGTTGTTTTCCGTGCCTCCTTTAGAATGGCGCCTTCCAGGACCTTCCGTGACCTCATCTGTGCTTGGCTAGAGACGTTGCAAGAAATGGCAGCCAATCGGTGTGAGTGACGTTCGAGCCTTCTTGTACCCTGTACTTGCGGAGCGGTGCAACCACGAGCGCTTTCTACACTTTCCGTAGGCTTAGTACTTTTCAAGTTTGATTCGAAAAGACGCAATTAACGTATCAAGTATCTCGTTCTGTTAGAATGGCGGGTCGTGCCGTGCGTGTTGCCAAAATGACGACACTTTTTGCTTGGAGATACGCGGTCTTATCACGCTTCTGAATTGTCTCACCCTCCTAATGCCGTACCCACTAAATCGAGCTATTGATTGGTTGTCCTCTGGAAGTAATCCAGTCCAAAGCCCAAATACTCAAAAGCAATGAGTGCCTCTGAGCTGTTTTAACGCATTTTGTTGGTGCGGTTGGCACCCGAGTATGTGCTGTCGCCACCATGTCCTTTTCATAGGCCAAATGATGTTAGGGGAAAATTCCAAACAACTTCGTAAATGAATCACTTTTTGTTATGGAAATGAATGACTTTGAAAGAATGTACCACCAAAATAGTTGAGAACGAACGTAAATTGCCTTCGTAGGGTTTGCTCCACATAAGGTGTGATTTCTCCGTAATTGACCAGCAGACGTGCTGAAACATTCAAGGAAATTTGGATGAATATGAATGGGAGTTCATGTGAGATTTTTCTCTCTAGCGTGGTTGCCCGCGCATTAACTTCATCTCTTACAGCACAGTCACGGCTCATACATCTGCTAAGATAAGTGAAGGTCCGCGGTTCGAATCCGACCTCCGCCACTCGACTTCCCCTGTCTAGGCTTGGGCAACCTGGCAGTATCCCAGCCCTCGTGCTTCCTTCGGGTGGCATGGCAGCTAGGCACCGGAAGGGTGCTACAGCTGAACGCTTTTTTTCTATGATGGGTTGTGGGATGTTGCATACCTTAGTAAGTTTGGATTTTCAGCCAGCGGGATGGTCTAAATTGGTACTTTTTGATAAAAATGAGGAAAGTTGTCCCTGGCGTGTGAATGAAGGCTTTTTTTGAAATAAGTACGACAGTACCAGAGTATTCGACGCTTGTGAAAGTTGCCTTGGCGTGAGTTCTTCGTTGCACCGGCTTAAATAGAGAAGATCGTTTAGTTGTAACAACCTTTCGGTGCCTAGCTGCCATGATATCCAAAGCTGGACTGAGCTACTGTCAGGTTGCCCAGGCCCGGACAAGAGCAGTCGAGATACCGGGGTTAGATTCAAACCGCGGACCTTCCGGTCAGTAAGTCCGCGCTGTAGTCAACTACCGCTGTCGACGAATTTGTCTTCTGAGGAAATTTTCAGGGATTCAAACATGACGAATTCGTTTTATTCAAGTCCGCTCAGTAAACATGCACCAGACTAGGAGAAAGACGGATATTTTACGCAAAAAAGAAGAGGCTAGTATAAATAAACCAGACAACATAAAACGGGCATTCAACTTCCGGCAACTTCTATCGCGTCCTTTAAATTAGCTCCTAGCTTCGTGGGCCAATTTCTTCAACTAAACCGCTAGTTTTCAGCTTGCGCAAGCAAGGTATTGAAGATCCCAGATCGCCCACCGTTTGGTCCTGGCACCTCTGTATGGTTTCAAACAGCTCCTGGACTCGGGTAGTTCCACACAAAACGTAGAACTCTGTTGTTTTTCGGGAGACAAATGGAGGTTGAATGGCTGAATACCTGCTTTTGAAAATTATTCTTTGAAAAGCCGGTTTCAGTAAACCAATAATTTCATATTGAGTGAGGCGATTCCCTCGTTAACGCCAGTTTTTTTCGAAAATAACTTACCAAAGCTTGTAATCACGTGTAATGGAGACAGCATTGCAACGTTCGATGGGTAGGGAGAGGTGATTCGGGAAGGGATAACGCTAATCTCCGGCTTTTCAAGCCGAAGAAGGGGGCTTGGTTGAACTGCCTTTGACTCAAAAGTGGTGGGAGAATGTAGGGCTTTGTTCAGAGACCCCGCCTCTAACCTCTTCTTCTGAACCGTGGGTCTGCAGATGTTAGGGCTTCCTTTGAGGACCCTTTCAGGAACCAATGACTCAATATTCTAACCCACTTGGCTGCAGTGGGCCAGCCTAGCTCAAGGACGCACGGAGTAAGGTATTACTGTCTCACTCCCGGTGCAGCTGCGTACATTAAGTGCCTTTTGAACAGCACTGGATTTTCATGAAGGAAACTACTCACAAGGTTGCTGAAAACTCTTCGACAGCTACGACTGGTTTCACCCTTCTTGGGGCTCATCAGGTAGGCGCAGTCTTCGAGTTTCCGTCAGCCTTATGTTCTACTTGGATAGAGTAGAATATCATAAACGAGAGATTCAGCTGAGTCTCTCGTGAAAACCAAATTGATTTACAAATGAGTGTATTTCTGGAGCACCGGATTTTCTTATTTTGACCGTATCGGATAACGTGCCGGCGGTCAGGGCGGAATGCCGGGTGGGCCGGTTTTTTTTTTTGGGGGGGGGGGGGCGATCTTTTCCAACCCGTCCCTTCTCGGGGAAAGGTGGCATCGCTCTTGGTCGGCTTGGGGCGGGGGCAAGGTTTGCTGCCTTCACACTCCTATCGCAGAGGACAGTACGACTTTACCTCCAGATCGCCTCGTGATACGATTCCTGGCAGTACGGGGACTTGCTGTTGTTCTTCGTCGGGCTACTCCCCCTTGGCCTTTCTGGCTTGGCTGAACCTTTGGGAACTGAGATTTTAGCGAGTATAGCACGCAGGGGCATTGCAGCACAAAGGCCCGACTACCACGACAAGGTGACAGCTTTGAGGCGGGAACTAACCACGATTGAGGAGGGACAGAATAACGTTTTTGAAGTTGGATTGCTCAACATTCGTTAGAATTTGACGCATCGCCTATTTATGGAAGTGAACTCAACCCCAATCAGTGCAGGATTTGGGAGTATTACGTTCAACCCCGTCTACAGCCTTATCATCATCCGAGATGTCTTTTCTCCTCTTGTACATTCTTCCTATCGTCTGTTAGTGGAGGCAATGGTGTTTCTCTTTGACTGACGCTCATTAACATGTGCAAGTGGTATCCCTAGGGTTAAGGACACTGTTGGCAAAGTAGAGTTTAGTGTACAATGATCTTGACAATGATAACACCAAGTGTTAGACGGAATCCTGCGCCAAAACCGCTTTAATGCTCACATAAGGCGCTGTTATGGCCTAGAAGCCCAAACCGCACGCGATTGTCCAGACCATGGGGTCACTTTGCGGTCCAGCATCCAGACGAGCTTTGATTGGCCGAAAGTGTCGAACCACCAGCCAATCATGATTCAATATCCACCGGTTGCCAATGTTGTGTCCAGAATTTGTCACCTCCTCAAGTACGACGTGCTGTTCATTGGTTCTTGAGCTACCAGATAGATACGAAAATACGTCTTAATTAAATTACACACGTTTTATCATGAAGGACTTTGGAGCTTCTCACGTGACATCGTCAGCTTTTCGCGTAAAGGTATTGCAGTCATAGCTAATCTAGTCAGTCGTATTAGGGTGGCAAGGGGTGTCGTTGTTCTTGTTTTAATTAAGGTTAACAGTTCTTGGAAGAACAACCGCTCTCAATAACCGAGCATCGCGTCTATTGGACAGATGTGTCGCGTGCGGGCTAACGTACGAGAGCGTGCCCTGATTGATCAGAATATCATATAATCGGCATCGTGCATTATGGCTTGGTGCTCCTCGCCACCTCACGAAGATTCTAGCGCCGTCTTATGGAACATTCTGTGATGACCTTAGAGATACAGTTGTCACACTTATCCTCTACCTCCGTAAAAGGCCGTTTCAAGATACCATGACTTTTGATCGAGCATACTGAGCG